TTTTTGCCGTATGAATATACGTTGCCCAGGGTGCACCACGTGGAGGTAAGGTTATCGCACACCCCTCGTTAAATGGTATAAGAATGATCATATTGCCACTTTATTGTTTAAAAGCCAGCTGTGATTGGGCGACTATTTTGTAATTAAACGAGTGCATATTAGTGAGCATGAGTGGTTTTAGTTTTGTAAGTCGCAATGTCGATGTTTAATGGTGCTTGTCAAAGTTTATAGTTCTGAATTCTTGTCAACTGATTTGTCCTTAGCTTTGACTAATTTCGCCTAACGAATTAATATCGGCTTTAATTAATGCTGTTCTACAGCATTTTTGATTGATCATATTTTTCATCAATACAAATATCTATATATTTGCATTCCGTGCCTTTTACGTGCTGCACCCATATCCTTCCTTATAACTATTTTTATCCCTAATTGTTGTGTTGCATGCGAAAAATAGAAATAGGCTGTGTGTGTGTGTGTGTGTGATTGAGGTTGTCTTCATAACTTCACTTTATACTCATCAGCTTTATAAAATGCTTTATTTGGGATAAGCTTACTGAGTCATAATGATCTTTTATCGAGGATACGCACACAGTTCAGTTCCATTTTCCCCACTTCCATATTTGCAGACTTGGTGCTTTACGAAAAACTCGTACAACTTGCAAAACAGTTATTGAATTTAATAGCGGAGTTTTGGGAAAAAAGCGTTTCAGGGAGAGCAATTTGTCGGTTTTATTTGAACCCATCTTTCTGATTAATGATCTCTTGGTTCATTCTTGCCATAATGTTTCGGGTGTTCATCTTTTGTCTAGTTGACACTCAGTATTCCACCGTTATTGTGCTTTATTTGTCACCCAAAACTCATATATTTTTACTTCTTCGAATTCTCTTCCAGTTTTCGACGATGGTGACCGACGCAGTCTCAAGAGAACTCAACTAGTAATGAAAGGTGAACGCCACTTCAAGGAAAGCGAGACCCTTGATCGCCTTCCCCTTACAAATCCAGAGCAGTTCAAGCAACCTGTTATTGATCCCAGTCGAAGATATCAGTAAGTCCGTGCTTCCCTTTTTACATGTCAAACTTTTTTTGGCCTTCCTTGCCTGGCATCATGGAAACTTGCTACTTATTCCTTATTAAGTGGGAAGTCGGGAAATTTGTCATTTTGACTTTTCGGTTTTCTCTTCTTTCGAGCCTTTTTTGTCCAGTTAATTTTTCAAAAAAACCTTGTTTTTACCGGAATATAGTTTGAGATGATAATTTTACATGAATCAATAAACTTTTTTATTACTCAATTAGGAAAGGCAAGAAGCAAGTGGGGTAAGTCCATTTATTTGTTAAAAATATATTAGCTTTGCTATTTTGCTTCCCATGTACTTATCCAATCTCCCAGAAAATGCCTTAGTATGTAGGTACTGTCAATATCATCTTCTTCGTCTTGTTTGTTTTAAATAACTTTAGTCCCTTCCGCCTTTATGTTGTCATAACGGCCGAAAATTGCATCTGTTGTCACCTCTCTCTCTCTCAGCGCACATTTTAGTTCATCGTACCGGCTAGTGTTTGTTACGGGAATTTGCTTCAGGGCTCTACTTCCTTGCTAATTATGAGTGCATTGTGTATGTATCAACACATCCATCGACTCCATTCCCTGAACTGCCATCCCTACTGTACTCTAGAGCCAAAAGACTGGAAATTGCTTGAATGCGTCTACATTCAAGTAAGGTTAAAAAAATGGGACAGTTTTAGCGTCTACTGTACATACGCTTTTTACCTTATGAATATAGGAGGCTCTCTCCAGCGAATAGTTTGAGTCATAGGCCAAAGATAGGCAAGAGAATTCTTATTAAATCGAGGGACATAGGAAATGGCTCTTCAATTACTTTCTTTATCTTCATTGTCATCTTTTTTTTTTAATTTAGGCCTACTGTTAGTAGGGTCAAACCCCCGAAAAAGTAGGTCATAAGCTATCTCTTCTAACCTCCTTTTTCATAGAAGTCTCCATTGAAGTTACACTTATGCTCACACTTTAGTTTTTATTAATCTCCATCCTTGGTAACACTCTCTCATCACTATATTTCATACCTAACAAATCTTTCGCTTTATTTTATGTGTTAATTGTTCATAACGGTGTTACCTCACAGTGGAGAGAGGTAATTATATCAAATGGCAGGCTTTAGTTGACTTCGGGCTCTTCAGAGGGAGGGAACATCAAATTCGTAAAAAGTTGAGAGGGGAGGGGACAGAGGAGTGATTCACAGATGTAAGGTTGGTATTGTGGAAGTGCTGGAATATTATATAGTGTTGGGTCATGGTAGTTTGAAGTCAGAAATCAACTACCGGTTTACAGACCTTTTTTGTCCCATGAACATACTTTGCCGAGGGTGCACCACGTGGAGGTACGTCTATCGAGCGCCCCCCCCCCTCAGAGAGAGGGATAAACGTAACGGTATTCATCTTGTCCCAAATTAATTTTGAGTGTGGTATACTGTAATTGTCCCTTCTAACTCAGTCGGAGAAATGAGTGCTGAAATTGTTTATAGAATTATTAGGCGCCAAAGTGACTCCAGGTACTAGTACTCAATAACG